ATGTTGAAGCAAACCCACGTTGAGCTTCGGATGACTCAAGCGGTTCGCACCCCACTCGAAGAAAATGTGACCTTGGTGCCTCCGTGGTAGTCCACCACAGAGAACAGAAGGAATTACATATCAACTGACCGTCATGGATGATGGTCGATCAAAGCGGCCCACCGGCGACTCGAATCCTCAGGGCCAACGAGGTCCCGCCATCTTCAAATCTTTTTGGAAGTCAAATCGTTCCAAGGAAAACATGTTTTCCTTGGTTCATCTTGGTTCAAAGGTGCAAAAGGGCGCTTGCCGCTTGATGATTTTGCATGGTTTTGGTAAGTTTTGGTATCCTTTGTTGGTTATCTACTGTCTCAGCTGCAGTGCCCAGGCGCCCGGTCCCAGGTTTCAAGCCTGGGGAACTTCAGCAGGGCAGGCCGGCCACGGAGGGTCTGGGACACCTGTGCGGGGAGGGCGGTTTGCCCTTGGAGGTAAGAAAGGATTCTTTCTCTCTCTCTCTCTATCTTTCTCTCTTGGGGCATGTTTAAATGAAGTCAATACCTGTTAACACCGGTGGCCAAACGACACCACGCCATGCCCAAACCTCAGCCACCCGGGTGCCATCCAAGCGTGGCAAGTCGCAGCGCCGCTCAGCGCCCGGGCGTTCCAGGAAAGCCTCCAGCGCCATGAGGCGTGCCTCTTCGAACGACAGACCCCATGAAAAAGCTCCTAGTAGCGTCCTTGTTCCGAGTAGCGATGCCAGGAGCCCCTAGTAGCGTTCTTGTCCAAATTGAGTTCTCAAAGTTTCCGAGTTTGGGAAAGTAACTGAATGACAGATCCTGGAGTTTCTGATCCAGTCGGGTCTTTCTCATTTTTCACTTTCTCAGACTGGGAAGCACCTGTGAAGCACACAGGTGGTTACAGTATTTGATTGGTATGGATCAGCAACTGGGACTCTTGTATGCCCAAGCAGGTTCACACAGCCTGTCTTTTGTTTGAACTTTGGTGTGTCAATGTGGCTCCAATTTAGGGGACTAAAAACTAATTTACAGTAGACATATATATATATACAGTATAGCCCTGGTAGTGTGTAGGTTCGTGGGTGTAGAATAACCAAAAATATACAGTTGTTTTTGTGCTGTCCGTCCTGTGGTGCCAAAAATATCTGCAACTACTTTCAGTTTCAACCTTTTCCGTGGTGCTCTCTCTCTCTCTCTCTCCTCATCCAGCCGACCGCAAACCACTTTGTTGCTTCTTGCCAGGGAGTGTGGCAGTTCCAGCTAAGGAAATCGAGAAACATTGATCGTGTGGCCAACATCTGATCTGAAAGTTGAAGCCAAGGAAGATATCGTTCGAGGCAATCGCACGTCAAGACCGCCCCACCCCGCCCCCTGCATGAAACAATCCAAAAACACAGGGCACCCCTAATGAAACCGCGCGCAACTACATACAAAGTGAAGAAACCTCCTCTTCCGGGCGATGTGAACTGAGGTTCTAGGCCTTTGGTGGTGCGTTTCGATGAGTCTCGGCCATAGCCAGTTTCGGTTCCTGCAGATCAAGATCCACCTTGCTAGAGGTGGCTGATGGTTGCCCTTGGTTCCGCCTGCAAGCGCGGGTCTGCATTGGCCAGCGCCAGCAGGGTGAAGGTCCACGCCATGGCATGGCTCAACTGCTATACTTTTGAGATTATGTGGGTATGCTGACAATAAGAGGGAAGCCCAGCCAAACCCTGTAGAAAAATCAAGACGCGTCCAAATCTCTTGGCCTTCCCAGTGCAAAGGTCTGATTTGACATATTATTAGTGTGTTGGCGCATTCCAGGTGTTAATGTTGGAACCTCTTAATTATTTGGCAATGGCACCAGCTTCATTCTGAAGCGGCAGCTCCGACATGCCAAAGATTGGGTTGATTAGCTTATCTCTGCCATTCTCTGCCCATCTCTGCGTATTGTCTTACATTCTGCAGACAAACATCCCGTTGTTGGGAGCAGTTGCTGACGCATGGCTGGATTCCAAACCCTCTGTCGGCTTCACGGCCGATGTCGTCATGGCATTTTTCTTCGAGCCGACGACGGCACTTGGCCCGACACCTGTCATGTGGCCATGCTGGTGAGGCCCGACGTTCGTCTGCATGCCGACCAGTCGGCGCCGACTAAAAGGGATGTTTGACCTTCCCTTTTAGTGCATGGCACACAGAGATGCTTTTCTGAATTTCCACATGTTTCCAGATTCTTTTGAAAAACTGTTCCCTGTCAAAGAATGAAGAGCCGTCCACTTGGCTCGTCCGCTTTCAAGGCCCAGATATTTCTCCCACCTGAGCTTCTGCCACACGAGGAGGCATGGCACCTGACGTCCGACATCCCCAGGCGTGGGCTACAGGGCTACAACTGGCTTGGGCTTTCCCAATGTCTACTACTACAAGAGTGTCTACTTGTCACTTGCATGTGTCTTCCATGTCAGGATGGCAAGTCTTTTCTTGTTCAGGGCACTGGAAAAGCTCCAGAATTTTCAACACAGCTCTACAACCTGCTCTTGATCTGCTCTGTCACTCTCTTGCCCCTTGATTGAAAAAGCATTTCTTGAGCTCCATGTGCTGTTCTTCCATCTTGTTCTCCGAGTGAGCCCGTCCAAAGCTGGTTCTGGCTTCGCGCTCTCGGCACCTGTCACCTGTGGAGAATCATATGTCGGTGGTTCAATGTGCTACCCAGCAAGGAAGCCAAGCAGAATCGTTCATTTGCTCCACCTGCGGCCTATGCGGGCCAAACTGCCATTCTTTAAGGTCACGGTGAGCATGTTCTGAGTCCTTCCACTGGTGCTAGGTGAGAATGCAAAGAAGAACTCAAGGCACCTGCCCTCAGAGTGCGAAGCGCACCGGTGGGCAGACTCATCTGAGCCGAGAATTGCCATGCTACGGTCCCAAATGCCCTCAAAATTCGTTGTCGTACGTTGTCCATGTCTACAGTGGCTATCTTTCAATCTATGCTTCAAGAAAGGGTTGCATTTCCACGCATTTCCTCAATCTTCTGCTGCAGCTTGACGTTTTCTGGACGAACTGGGGCAATTCCCTGCTCATACATATTCAATTATTCAATGGATCACATGGCGAGGACCTTGCCCATCCACAAACTCAATTAAGAACAACTCACGGTCTTTTTCACGCGATGCAGTGAAACCCGGTCCAGCCACCAAAGATCCAAAGACCTGTCCATCAATCATGTCCATCAATAAGCTGTAACTGAAGGCGGGCATGGCTGGACCAAGGGCGGGAGAACATCTGGTTTCAGATCTTCCCGTTTTTCCATGACCAGAATTTGTAGGGGCTTTGCGGAAACCGTTGCAGAATCCCGGAATGCCGGGTCGCTCGAGCTGAGGCCGTGGTGTCAGTCCCCGCGAATCTGGCAGGACTTCCTTGCCAGTGATTTTTGGGTGCTTAGAACTTAGAAGGTGCTACCGGTGTTCGTCAATGGATCAGACCCCCGAACTGTATAATATACACATACTTACTGCTCTCATCTGCTCTCACCTAAAAGGAATAGGTTTTCTGATATCTTCCAATGACATCACTGGGGCTCAATACCAACAAAAGCCTCAGCAAGCATGACCAGCACCTGGCATGAGGACCGGCAGCAAAAAGAATCCTTTCCAGCTTCTAGCATACTTCACGTCACAGTACTTCACTACAATGGAGATCGCAACCACGTGACAAGAACCTACTAGGGGCTCCTGGCCTTACTACTAGGAGCAAGGACGCTACTAGGGACTCCTGGCCTTACTGCTAGGAGAAAAGACGCTACTAGGGGCTCCTGGCCTTATTACTAGGACTAGGGGCGCCTTACTCCTAGGAGCAAAGACGCTACTAGGGGCTCCTGGCCTTACTACTAGGAGCAAAGACGCTACTAGGGGCTCCTGGCATTGCTACTAGGAGCAAAGACGCTACTAGGGGCTCCTGGCATCTCTACTAGGAGCATATATTCACTGTAGTAGAGTTAGTCTTAGTAGAGACTTTAAATCACTTCAACCACCATACGGCATAGGTGTCCCAGTGACCATCTCTCCCCCCACCTAGGCCCCACCACGGTAGGAGCTCGGCCCACGCCCTGGTAAATTCGAGGCCTTCCACGTGGCGTGGTCAGTGGTCGTCAGCTCGAGAGGGCTACAGTGAGTGAAAAAAATCAGTACATTCTCCAGCGTATGTGAATACTTTCTACTGCTAATGGACCATAGGGACTATCATAGGGCTTCTCCACCTACTCTTTCTGATCGCTCCATGCACTCTGCCAGTGCACACTCTAGGATTCACCACATCCGGCCACAGTCTGCAAATTATGGGGAACCTACCCGGACCTGCTTCATGATCCAAGCTAAAAGCTTTTGCTTAGCGAAGAAGGATTCAACCAGCGCTTTGGCAATTTTCTTCTACAAACTGGCTGACCTGGGCTGATGGCAATATGTGTGCCTAGTTGGCAACGAATTACAGCAATTCGCCCCTGCCGACTTCCATGAAGCTGCCTTTTCTTGGTTGTTTTCAGGGAGGGCATGGAGATGTATACAGTAGTCACGAGCCTGTGGCTGTTCCCGACCACCTCTCCCCTATCACAAGGCCCACCTGATTGCTGTTGGTCTGCTCAGGTGGCAGCACAAGTAGGTTATCCTTGGTGGCCGAACCAGTGTGGATCACCCAAACTGAGCTTAGCACAATGTTGGAAGGGGCCGTGGCTCTTGTGGCTCTCACGAGTTGGGCTTCACTAATCACTTGTGGTGACAACATGACCGAGCGTGACAAACACAGGGTTTCACCTGAAAAAAAAGGATTGCCCGGACTCGGGTGAGGTTAGTTTAGGCTCTTCAAGCCTGTGGCGAGTCTGGTGGGCTGCAGCCAAAGCATCTGCTTTGAAGCTCAGGGTTTGCATCTCCCGAACCATCCTCAGTAGGTGGCTAGGACTCGGGAAGTCAAGAAGCATTGGTGGTACCTGCCACTTATAATGGAGGACTTCCCACTGGTATATACCAGGTTTGGACCTGGACTCTATGGAAGTGGTATACTCAGTATACTAGAGCGGAAATCTTTATGGGGTAGGTATGGTGAATTACGACTTGCCACTCCGCACTGGTGAAGGTCCTCTTTCTGGGGCTGACAAGGCCGACAGCACAAAAATTGCACCATGTGTTTCTCACAGTTCTTGGCCTGAGATATTCTGAGATCTTGGTCTGTCCAGTACCCACCGACCGGATCCCATCCCGTCATATCCTCATCGATATCCTTCAATCCATGCGTCTCATCATCATCGACGATGACATCCACCGTGTAACGCCCTTTCTCGTTCGGCCCTCCTGGCGACTGCTTTCAGTTCATGCTTCCCCAGCCCTTCACCACCGACCTTGGAAAACAAACACAGGCCACAAAACGGGCTCTGGAGCCTGGAGCCGGTTGATTGCATTTGCTAACATAAAAGGCACCCTAAGCGGACATCACAATTTGCAAGTAGGATCAAGTAGGTGAAAGTATATCCGCATTCTACATTCTGAACGTTATACATGGCCGTGACATCATGACATCCTCACATTTGCCTACCACGCTGATTTCTACCTCATGTGACTCATGTAGATTTTCATCACCTGCCATCCTCGCCTGTGATGAAGCCTTCGAGGCCATTGAAGTGCGCCTGGGAGAGGCCAATCAACCGCACCCGCGCGCCGACCGCTAGCATCCCATAGTTCTCCTGGGGGCGACCAAACGGTCCGGCACTGTTGGGGGGATGTCCCAGTGAGAGCTGGGCGTCCTAACTCTCATGTCTGGCAAGTGACACAAATAGCTCGACGGAAAAGAAAAGGTTGCCACAGAAATGTCCCAAAGTTGCCCATGCTGAATCGGATGAACAAGCTGTTCAAACAAACCGAGCTGCAGAACACCAGCCGCCCTGATAAGCCCTGTCTAGTTGGGATCACCCGTCTCCTGCGAGACGGGTGCGATTCGGCGGATCTGCTTCTTCGGGCACAGCCGATTGTAACCTGAGCTGCTGCACTGGCAGGTCAAACCATAGATAATCGAACATCTTTTGGGAAGCAAAGCCTTCCTACAGCATGTTGGTTTTTCATGTTAGTTTCTCCCGTCAAGCGCCTTTATGGGGCACGCGGGTTGGGGTGGGCGGCGCTCATGCGGCACCTTGTCATTTTGCTACATGTCACGTTCTGGCACTTCCTTTCTTCTTGGCTGCCATCTTCCACCCCAAAGAGACAGCCTTGCAGCTGCCATCAGTTCTGCTCCGGCCCTTTGTAATTGCTGGCAGGAGCTTCTAGCTCAACAAAACAGGACAAAGACACAAGTTGCTACTTTCTATCCACTTGTTGGAAATGCCACTGCAACGCAAAAGGAATAGGAATAGACCCCCCCTCCAACACACTTGGCGGATGATTTCAAGATATTTCAAGGCAGAATGCCTCAACGCCTCCAAAGACTCTTTCAAAAAAACAGGAATATCATGAATCTATCTAGTCACGCCTTTTGTGAGCTTCCTTCCACCACCCGTCACCACCCACTCATCAACATGTACCTTTTCGTCTTTCTAGGAACATCTTCCCAAACATCTGCTCAGGCAGGACGGCTTGGAGGGCTTTGATTCTTCCGCTGCCTGACCCGGGATGACCTTCCGCTTGGTGCGGTAGCCGCCCTCCGAGCGTTCCACCACCTCACGGTCTTCGGTGCCCACGGAGACAGCATACCTGGCAGAGAGATGGGGATGGCGCCAAGAAAGCACAAAGGGTGATATCCTTCGATCTTGAAAGGGGTTGGGGGCGTTGCCCGTTGAACGCTCACGCACATCGCCGAAAGCAGTATATAGATGCCAACAAGTTGCTCAGCACGCAGGTGAATTGCCATATATAATACAGTAGCTTATGATATTATGAAAATACTGTTGACAAAAAGTTCTGCATTAACCATGAAATCCAACCAGGAACTTCCATCCAATCCCCGCTCACCAGATGTCCAATTCAACACAATGTAGGACGGCCATGGCCAACTCAACTCCATGAAACCTTCCAAAGGGATGCCACCTCTGCATGAGTCAAACGTGCCTTTATGTTCATCGGACGATCGTGGACATCCATCTGCTTGCATCTGATGCCCAAAAACGTTCACAGCAAGGGGCTTTTCTCGTTGGACATAGAGGTACAAGCCGACGCAAATGCAGGAGAGGCAGCCGCCCACACTGATGGCCACGATCATGATCACCTATAGGTGCTGACCGAATCGACGGATTGCACAAAGAATTTCCCTTCGAGCGGATAAGTCAACCATTCTAGTTCTAGGGCTGGATTGAAGTCAAATAGAAGTCAAATAAGACCCAGACTGTAGAGTCGCCATGTTGTTCACGCAAACAAAACCATGAGTTCCAGGGTGCAAGGGTGCTGGGAAGTGCCGCCTATGAAGATGCCACTTCCATCTGTTCCGTGGCAGAGTGTTCTCAAACATTTCTGCGGATTCGCCAAACATATGGATGCTGGAATGGGTGGGCTTTTCATGGTGGTGCTCTCTGATCTTCAGTGATTATATAAAAAGGATTTAAATAGCATCACATCTTATAGACTGCTCTCACGTCACCTTCTCCTTGGGACTTGCGTGGTTCCTGAAGTAGTAGGATCATCTTCAGGAAATTACTCCGCCTAACCTTCCAAGCCATGTCGCCATGATCATGTTGTTCGCAGTCCTGCAGGACTCGCATCATTCGCATCTACCGGGCTCTGAAGGCGTCTTCTCAGCACTGAGACATAGACCTAAAATAGACCCTAGACTTCCATCAATCGAACTTGTTCTGTAACCAAAAACAAAGACGCAATCATATCAATCATCAAACCATAGCCAATTCGGTTGAATCCCACCTAATCCCACGTTGATTTCAGCGTCTCCAGCTCCGCTGATTGACCCACCCATCGCCCCGTCCAGGTCGGGGGCGGAGGCGTGGTCGTCGTATCTGGAGGTGCTTCTTCCTCGATGGGCCCCAAAGCCACATGCGCCCACATCTGCCCTGCGAGAACCGATGCGATCTACAGGCCCTAGCAATGGGGGATCTATATAGAATTCTATAGACATGTGTAGCCTACGATGCTAATCATGATCAAGAATGATACCAATCTTGCATGCGAGCCTTTCAAGGTCATCGGCCAAAAGGATAAATGGCATGTGTTTTTTTCCGCACTGTTGCATGCAGCATCTGGCTGGGTGCAGTGGCGTAGCTGCTCCACACCAGTCCTTTCGGCCCTTAAAACCGCTGTTGGACTGGGCACCTAAAGGGTTGTCCACCAGCATTTCTGGGCGATTGGTTTCATCTTGTCAAATTGGTACAAGCATGATCAAGCATGTACAAGCCGACAAGCCCCAGGGCCAGGGACTGGACAGCAGCCACGGTTGCAGCGAAAGGACCTATCTCCGGTTTCCGCTGCCATCTAGCGTGAATGCCAGCGGGTGGGCACCTCTCGCCAAGCCATGCGGGAACGGAAAAGCAAACAATGTATACATACATATGTATATATATATATATACCATCTTGGTGTATCATGGTGTATCTCGAAAGTCTTCAGAGACCCAAGCAGTCCAATCAGTTCCTGTTGATGTTCAGGTCCAGTCGTGTTCAAGCCATTGTCCTCCCACTGCCAGGTCTGCCACTGAAAACCCAAAAAGAGAGGCAGCGCACGCCGGGCCGGCTTCCTTGCGGCGGGGCGCTGAATTCGGGCTCTTGGGAAGCCAAGAGCCCGGAAGAGAAGATCCAGAATAGCACCTGGATCCAATCTCATCCTTGAGACTTTTGGAAATCTTTCGGCGGTTTTCCTCGCATCATCACTTATCATCAGCTACCAGCGTCCTTTCCACAGCTTGTGGGGCACCAATCGGCCTGCAAGGCCTCACTACCACAGCAGGAGGCTGGACCTCAGTGACAATCTGAGCTTTGTCGCGCAGTTTGGATCCGACGGAAGCCCATTTCATCCTCCTTTCAATCTCTGTGTCAGTGACCACCGGCCGCGGAACGCGCTGATTCACGCGTTCGGCGCCCATGGTATGGGCCAAAAGGCAAAGCATGGCACCAGGACGTCCCACCTTCTTGGATTGACCTTGGTTGAACGGAACCGTTCCATCGTTCCAGAACCGTCATCGTCCGGTCGATGGTTCGGTGCCGTGCGCGTCTGGGGGCCCTGTTGTGGGGATGATTGTGATCTGCGAAGCGCTCACGGGCTTTTGGGGGGAAGCAGTTGTCGATAGTTGTCGCACCCGAAAAACACATTGGACGGACTATATAGTGATATCTGATCCTCAGCCGATGAAGGCACTCATCATTGTATTTACATGTATCTATATATATACTCACTCTGCTTGAAATGCCGGATGTCTAAGTACATATTGACCGAGCTGGTATATAGAGACATTGACAAAGCAATTATGTGCATAGTATGATCCCCACCCCTAAGGGGGGGACCTGTCTAAATGTAAGCTGCATTTTTTGCAACTTTGGGCTTAAAAAATGTAAGTTACATTTTCTTAGGGACACCTTTAAAAATGTAAGTTACATTTTTTGAATAAATGTAAGCTACATTTTTTGAGGTTCCGTTTTCTTGACGCCTTTCTGTGTTTTACCTTTTTCCTCTAGACCGTCTTCCTTTTCTTTCTGCTATTTTTAAGACTTCCAAGCCAGTGACAGAAGCATGCATGTAAAGTATGATTTTTTTATGGTTTCGTTATTGTTTTGGTATGATTTGTTTTTTTCTCAAGCCTTTGGGCAACTCCAAAGTTTGACCTTTTGGTAGCCTTTCCAGGTGGCTTTGGGGAACCTGCCTCCATCCTTCGGAAAAGGAAAGCCATACCAAAATCATATCAAAACTATATCAAAATATAACAAAACCATAAGTGTTACACGTTTCTTATGGTTTTCTTAGGACCCAGCCACCCTGGTCATCTCTTACCTCCACAACCCAACCTAGTTTCAAGCCCTTGAGCCATTCCAAGGCCTTTTGACCTTTTGGTAGCCTTTCCAGGTGGCTTTCAACTTTCCATATTGATTGTTTTTTCCCATATGCATCTTTAGTTCTGTAGATATTTGTAGATTCCATATGTTGCCTTTCAATGTCTAGGTGCATACCACCGGTTTAGGGGCGTCCCAAAATGTAGCTTACATTTTTGG